TATTCGTAAAATGGTATTTATAACTTAACTCCTCCTACCAACTAGTAATCTACACTCAAAGCCTTAAAAAGAGGTATTTCTTTCTTTCTTTAATGTGCTTTTACCCCTGTTTTTATAGGAAAAAAAAAAAAAGAAAAAAATAGCTCAGGTACGTAAATAAGCTTTCCTTCTTAGTACATTTATACTCATAAAACTCTGCTCTGACCACTAAGTCAACCTGTTGGTATTAAGCCTACAAAAATAAAGATTTAATATACACATTAACAGGCGTGAATGACTGTGAGGTGGTTTTCTAAGGTGTTGATGGATTTTGGATCTCCCACCTAGTTTCCTTTGGAAAGAAACAGGTCTGCTGACAGCAAGATTTCTAAATATATAGCAAACAAAGTCTCCAATATTTAATTATAGATCTCAAGATACCAAATCACTCAAATAGTAACTAAGTATTCCACTGCTATCACTTGGTAAAATTTTTTACATAGTGGTTTCATCATATAATAATCTAATTATACTATCAGTAGACAGAACTGCTTAAAGTTATAAACGCAACAGGCTGCAAGAATAAGGCTAGCTTACTTGACCTAAAACATTCCATTAACCAAAGACCAACTATAATAGGCTTAAGTACTTAAGAAAATGCGACCAAAAGAAAGAAAATGCTATTCTCAGAACTGACCTTTGAAGAGCCATACTCTGCTTCTCAAATTTCTTATGTTTAGGCCATTGTGGTGGCTCATGCGTATAATCCTAGCACTCTGGGAGGCCAACTCAGGTGGATCCCTTGAACTCAGAAGTTCAAGACCAACCTGAGCAAGAGACCCTGTATCTACTGAAAACAGAAAAAAATCAGCCAGATGTTGTAGTGGGCACCTGTAGTCCCAGCTACTCAGAAGGCTAAGGAGGCTGACACAGGAGGATCGCTTGAGCCCAGGGTCTTGACATTGCTGTGAGCTAGGCTGATGTCATGGTACTCTAGCCTGAGCAACAAAATGAGACTTTGCCTCAGAAAAAAAAGAAAAGGTTTTTCTTACATTTAAAACCACAACTCAACCCTATAGATCCAGTTATAAAATTAGGCTCTGATTCACAGTGATTTAGTAGACATCTGATATAAGTCCCCCACAATTCAGAAATCTCTTTCATAAAATCCCTGAGAGATTATTCAGGCCCTCTTAAAGAATGATATCTGGGGGAAAACAAAAATCTCTATACCTGGGAACACCAACCAGGGATCCAGGCCAGTGTGCCACTCACTAAAATGACTTAAAATGTCTTGGAGTAAGCCTTCTCTCTCCTCCAGGCTTGTTTCTTCGTGACTAAAGGGAGGGAGTGACTAAATAACCTCAAAAGTTTCTTCTTGTTCTGAAGTCACATCATTATGATTTTCAGTAAAGTTACTTCAAGAAAGAGCTCATTCCATTTTTAAACAGTTCTAATTGTTAGAAAGGACGCGCTAAAATTCTAAATTTATGTATTTGTCAAACCTGAAATTCCATTTCTTGAAATCTACACTAGAAAAATATGACCACATATGCATGGGAAACATGTATAAGCATTACTTGTAGCTATAAAAAATCTGAAACACCCATTAAATCAGAGAAATACAATACAGTAGGATGCTGCCGAGTACCACGTAGCAGTGAGAGGGAAGGCAAGTATACACTCCCTAATTAGGAAAGACCTCCATACCATATTAATACAACGGTTTTTCATTTCAGAACATGTACATCTTGATGCCATTTATAAAAACAGCTACGAAGGCTTACACAATGCTTTCTGTAATGACAGACATGTTCCAGAGCTCCACAATATACTATGGTAGCCACCAACTACATGTAACTATAGATTCTAAAACATAGCTATTATTATCGGAAAACTGGATTTTTTTTTTTTACTACTTTAAATATATGTGGCTAGTGGCAAATGTACCAGACAGTGCAGGTCTGGGGGGGGGTGGGGGAAACAATCTAAACCAGTAATAGTAGTTAGTTACCTCTGGAGAGGAAACTAGATGTAAGAGTAGGGATGAAAAAAAGCAAACTTAAAAAAATAATAAAAGTAAAAGGAAAAAAGGCTGGGAAAACCAGAGATGGGGTCTTGCTATGTTCCACGCTGACCTCAAACTGGGCTAACATGACCCTCCTGACTCAGCCTCCTCCCAAGTAGTTGCATCTTAAGGCATGTGTCATTGTACCCAGCTATTTGCATTTCTTGAAGGTTTTTAAGCAATAATTTTTTCTTTTTTGAGACAGAGTCTTACTTTGTCACCCTAGTAGAGTACCAGGCATCACAGCTCATAGCAACCTCTAACTCTTGAGCTCAAGTGATCTTCTTACCTCAGCCTTCCGAGTAGCTGGGACTACAGGTGCCCACCACAATGTCCAGCTATTTTTTAGAGACAGGGTCTTGCTCTTGCTCAGACTGGTCTCAAACTCCTGAGCTCAGGCAATCCACCTGCCTCAGCCTTCCAGAGTGCTAGGATTACAGATGTGAGCCACTGTGTCTGGCCTACAAGTAATAATTATTACTAATATAAAAACTAAAATAAGAGAGACAAACTTGTTGATATTGAGCCAAACTGGCCTATGAAATAGCATAGAGCTTAGTTTTTCTCTTTTGCCTTATAAAAACCGGTCAAGTATGGTAGCTTTCCCCAAAACCATCCTTCAAATCCCATTTCCTCACATTTCTTTCCCAAATTCTTTCCATCTTCTGTTTTATTTTACAGCTATAGTAACTTGCTAATACAAAAGATGAAGCAATGCTACTAAATGCTTTTGGTCCACAAAGGAGCAGGACATACTTTCTAAGAATGTTTTACAATGGAGGTGTGGATATACATGTCAGCAACAACTCTCCTAATACTGGGGAAAAAACTGTCACTGCTCCCGAGTCTTCTCTTCCCCAAGCTAAATGCTTGCAGTCCTTACCAGAAACAAAGCCAGAACCCTTTCACCATCAATTGGCTCTACTGTGGTTCTAACTTCAGTTAGAGTATGAACTTTCCTTAGAAACTTCTCTGTGATGTGGTTTATTCACCTTTAGCCTCAACCTAAACTTTATTCATAAGTATTTACTGAATGCCACTATATGCCAGGCACTGCGCTGAGGGAAGGAGACAGCAATGAACAAGATATAAATCCACAGCGCCTTTGTTCCCCCAAAGCTGTAAGTGACAGACGCTGAATAATCTCTATTTTAATTCATCCCACACAGTACAATTCACTCATGCTGAATACCACTAGGACCGTGAGATTCAGACAATCTTTATTTGAGTTTCTAATACAAGTAACAGAAATCTACATAACATGTCCAAATACACACAACAGCACAATTTCATCAGTAATCCCCAGATGTCCCTTAGGCCCAATTTTTTCCAACAATCTACAACAAAAATGTAAAAATGAATGTAGTATATAGAATAAATTTGTTTTATCAGGTTTCTCTTTATAATGAGATCATGTCTTTTCTCTCTCTCTCCCTCTGTTGGTATTAAAATGTTCTTTACTTCATGAAGTAATGGTTTAAATAGAAAGCATCTAGGTTTTTGTCACAGTCCATTTTTAAATAGCCTTACCTGCCAAATGGGAAGAGAACAATTAAATCTCTATACCGAGTACCTGTTAATACTGTATGTATCCACATCGTCCACTGATATAAAGGACTGAAGAAAGTTTCCTCTGCCCTAAAATGCAGCCTTGCACATGAAGAGGCGGCAATTACTCCTCCAACAGATATACCTCCGCAAGAGTTAAATCATTAAATTTTGACAGAAAGAAATGTAAATTTTCTCACTCTTTCACTGTACTGTTCACAAGAACATTAATATATCACAGTAAAACAGATTCTAACACACAGTATTATAAATATGCAAATAATCTAATCAAAAAGTATATTGGTGACAGTAACAACTGTAATAGGTGAGTTACTTTAGTAACAATAAAAGTAGCCACATCTTTATCAAGGTTATTTATGGCTAGTCTTAAGTATCATCCACAATGCAAAAGGTTCATATTATTAAATCCAGATAGGGAGAAGTGGAAGAAAAGGAGTGAAAAATTTAAGTTAATAATAATAGAAACTATCACAAATAAAGTTGTACTAGCATTAACAAAACCACGAGATTTACCTGGTAGTTGAAAATGACACAAAGTTCACATAGGACATCTACCTCTACTCACCCACCCCACCCTACCCCACCCCCCAAAAACACATCTGTACTTACCCTCTAGTAATTTGTACTTTTTAAATGTGAGGCTAAAGTGCAGGCAGGCATTGCAATATAGCATAAAGACCAGAGTTTTTAAGCTGGGCTGGCCAGGAGGCCCTGCTCAAGACCCAGATCTGCCTTTTACGTGTATGACCTTGCACGAGTCATTCAACCTCTTCAAGTCTCCCTAGACTGTTAGCTCCACAGGGGTAAAGACCACGTCTGCCTAACTCACAGGTGTAAACCCTGACCCACAGCACCGAAACATCAGTGCCTTCTTGTATAAAATAAGGATGGCAGCAGTATTCCTCTCACCGCCTTCACTGAAGAAGTGAGTTCGTATAAAGTTCTGGCAAGGAGCCTGATCATGGTAAAAGCTCAATAAAAGTTACCTGTTACTGACATTACCTAGCAGCTATCAAACCTGCAATACTGTTTAAAGACTTCAAATACTAACATATAAAGCTTACACTTTAAGCAAGGTATAGATTCACAGAAAACCTAAGAATAGTTTCTAAACTACTGGGCTGGGAATCTAACAGCAGGTGAACCCTGAACCGTGGGTCAACAAACATAAACTAGTAAAAGACGTTCATTATACTCCCAAGTTGTTTTACTTCCAAAAACAGGCCAGAAGCGTGGGCCCCACTGGCTTCCCAGTGTCCGCTTCGGACGTCCCCCGGCTGTCAGGGACCCCCTCCTCCGCGCTTAGGGGGAGGAGAGAGAACCTCGGGGGGCGGGGGCCGGGCTCGGGGAAGCCGGCATCCCTGCGCCTCTCGCCCAGACCCACCTTGAGCAGGATGGACGGCGGCAGCTGGTTGATGTCTGGGGTTTCGGAGGGCGACTCCTTGTGACAGTCGCAGGGGTTCTCTGGGGGCTCCTGACAGTCCGCGTCGCCGCATTCATGCTGCTGCTGGGCGGACGAGGGGGCGGTGCCCCCGGCTCGAACCGCGTCCCCGCCGGCCTCGGATGGGACACCTTCGGGGGCGGGAGAGGAGGGCGGGGGGCAGAGGGGCTGCTCCGGGCCCTGGCAGCACCCGGCG